CTCTCTCTCTCTCTCTCTCTCTCTCTCTCTCTCTCTCTCTCTCTCTCTCTCTCTCTCTCTCTCTCTCTCTCTCTCTCTCTCTCTCTCTCCATCACAGCATCGGACGCAGGGAGCCAGATATACACACTCAATTACTGTAGTGTATTGTCTCTCTCTCTCTCTCTCCATCACAGCATCGGACGCAGGGAGCCAGATATACACACTCAATTACTGTAGTGTATTGTCTCTCTCTCTCTCTCTCTCTCTCTCCTCCCGCGGGGACGTGCTGTCCCTGTCTGTCTTACGTGTAATAATGATATGACACTCTTGCTTTGAGCTGTTTGATTCGTGTCAGATGTGTGCAATTAGGTCTCTTCGTGATTGCCGCCGTCCATCCGTCTACCTCTGGTCCATGCAAACTCGAAAGCTTATTCGTCGTCTTCGTTTTCTTTCCCCTTCTCTTTTTCTCTTTTTTTTTTTTGTCCCCGTTTTCCTCTTCTTTTTTCTTTTCCCATGTTCCTCTTCTTTTTTCTTTTCCCATTTTCCTCCCTCGCATGTGTTATTCGTCCTTTCCGAAGCGAAGGGATAAAAAGGAACAAAATGAGCATTCTTTTTTTTTTTTTTTTTTTTTAATTTATTTAAATGAGCATTCTTTCTTCGAAAGCACAGTTTGAAATTTTGTTTTGAAAAATTGATTAGTAATTATTTACTGTGTTATCCACACATCATATGAGTGGGTCCGACGTTTTCATTTTATTTATTTATTAATTAATTAATTTATTTATAACTATGCTATATTCTTCTCTCAAGGTCCGACGTTGTTTCTCTCAAAGTGCGTCACATTTCGTTATTCATTCTTATTTATTTATTTATTTATAAAGCGAGTCAGATTTACCCCTGAGCCTCTCTAGCGGTACCTGCGGAGCAGTAACGGCCTCGCTCCAGTAAACAACATTGGTAACGAATCTGGACCTCATGGTGGTTCTGGTTCCTTCAAAATGTTGAATCAGTTCGACTGTCTCTGGCGCCGGCCATTACCAACCCCCACCAATTTCAGATGGAATTCATGCTTGAGTAGTGGAGCGAGGCCCTAAGTTTTTGAGAGCGATCGATGATACACAGGCCGACCGACGGTTCTTTCTTATCGTCTTTCTGTGTATAATTCACGTTTTGTTGTGACAACGAGGTGAATGAATGGCGCCTAAGAAAATGGAAAGAAGGTGCCTGGATGCGATGGAGGTTTCTACTTTTCCAGGAGCTGGTACGGTTGCTTTCAGGCTTGGTAATTCAAAAAAACAGGCTTGGTAATTAAAAAAAACAGGCTTGGTAATTCAAAAAACAGGCTTGGTAATTCAAAAAACAGGCTTGGTAATAAAAAAACAGGCTTGGTAATTCAAAATCAGGCTTGGTAATTCGAAAAACAGGCTTGGTATTTAAAAAAACAGGCTTGGTAATTAAAAAAACCGGCTTGGTAATTCAAAAAACTTTGGGTAGTACATTCAGCCCCGAGTGTACTGGTGGTTTAGGGTTTAATGTAGATTCCTTTCGTGTTTAGGCGCGGAGTGCGTGCTTGGTGTGTGAAGAGCGTGAGGTCTGTCATTGTGTGTGTGTGTGTTGAATGTTTCTCGTCTTTCGCTTCGTTTTAGACAAGAAAAGAAGAGGGGGGGGGGGGGGGGG